TTTCTGTAAAACTTACGCAGGGCATCCACCCAATGTGCTGGGGGGCCTTCTCAGTCTCTTGATATTATGTAGGGACCTCTTCCATGATAGTCCTACTCGAATGGCCTTATTATGGTGAAAAAATGGCATTGGGATCTTGAAAGCTCTGCTGGAGGATTGTAAACTCTTACAAGTTCTACCATGTTAGCTGGTGTTCAAGTAGAGGTCCAGCAAGGCTTACTAGAAGCACCAATGTGGTATAGGGGATAGAATGATAGATTTTGATTCAGGAAATGAGTTCATTCCTACCTCAGTAATTTACTAGGTATGTAAACATAGGACAGTTAATTAATCTTTCTTACCTCAATTTCTTCCTGTTAAGTATTCATGTGATAAGTGCGCTAAATGTTTTACAAATATTATTTTATTTGATCCTCACAAAAATACTGGGAAGTAGGTGCTAGTATTAGCTCATTTTTATAGTTGAGGAAACTGAGACAAATAGAAAAGTGACTTGACCAATGGTCACACAGCTAGTAAGACTCTAAGAAATGATACGGTTATAAAACCCATGGATATATACATAAATACAAACACACAAAATATAGGTACCAAGCACAGTTAAGTAGAGATTTTAAAACAATAAATAGGGAAACTAAATGTTACATACATCAGTGTGACTTGGTGGGATGACACCAATGACTGACTTTAGAATTTGGCATTGGAAGGGCATTCTTTATCCAAGAAGAATGAGATGCTAAAAGGATGGGAACAGTATAGCATTGTATATTACAGATACATTCATGGAAGAAAATTCAAAGAAACAGAGAGGAAATGTAGTATAAAGCAGAAGTGTATAATATGTTGCCCATAGGCCATGTGCAGCCTATGACATTCCCCAGTTCAGCCAAACAAGATTAAAATGTAACTGAGAATTTTTACATAAATAAAAATACAATAAAAATGGATAATGTTAATATTTGGTTTTCTAAGTCAATATGAGGCCCAAGGGATCATATTATATATGGTTTAGTGGCCCCTGTTTCTATTTGACACTATTGGTGCAGAGCAGTTAAGGGAAGATGAAGAATTGTTGGCTAAAAGATAAATGCATGGATAGCAGGATTTAAAACTGGTGAATAGCCAGATGCAAAGAATAATCATTTATGCCTCAATATCAGCTCAGAAATTAGATTCTCAGTGGAGTGCTCCAGGGATCTGTCCTTGGTCCCATTTTACTTGACTTTTTTTTTTCTTAATCCAGTTATTAAGATAAAGGCATAGATTCTATGCTTATTAAATTTTCAGAGGTCATAAACCAGGGCAGGATAGCTAACACAGTGTATGACAGAGTCAGGATATTAAAAGACCTTGATAGTCTGAACACTGGAAGATATATAAGACTTATTCTTGGGTTCAAAAAATCAACTTCCACAGAACAAGATGATGGAGGTATAGTTTATGTGAAAAAAAAGATATGGAAGTTCTAGTGGATAGCAAGGTCAACATGAGACAACAGCATAACCTGGCAGCCCCCAAATACTAAAATAGTCTTAGGCTACATGAAGAAATATTTAGTATTCAGGAGTAAAGAAGTAATAGCTGCTGGTGATCTGCCCTGTTCAGAACACAACTTTAGCACTGGCATAGGAGTTGTATTTTATGTGGCTAATGAGCGAGAAGATAAAGAGTTGTCATTGGAGATGAGCAATTGGATTGCCAGTGCCTTAACATTTCCAAGGTTGTGGTTGCCCCCTGCCAGGCTGCAACTAGATCTTTTTCCCTTGCATTCCTTTTACCTTGACCCCCTTACTTCCCTTCTCCTTGGTGGCCCATCCATCATTTATACACTAAGCAAATGCTCTAGCAGAAGGTATACTAGATTGACTCATTGAATAAGGCATAAAGCTTTGCCTCCCAATTGGAATATAAAAAGGCCTAGCACAGGGGAAAATAATTCAAAGTACTAGTTTTCTTTCTGCCATATTGACTCTGCAGGAAGAGCTAGGTAATATTTTATTTTAACTACATGTCCTTTCAAAGTGTATTCTTTTAAAAAGTGTTTTAAGTGGATTTTATAATCTATGACTACTAATTGCATTTTGAACATTGAACCTGGGAACCTAAACTAATTTACACTTGGACCACAATAAGCACTGTTTAATGTTCAGTTCTGAATGTAATGTTTTAGGAAGGTCAAAAGTAAGATGGAGAAAGTCTCAAGGAAAATACCAGGATGCCAGTAGGCTTGAGATGAATGAAAAGAACTGGAAATGTATAGCATAGAGAAGAGAAATCTTCATGGTGGAAGTTGTTGGAGGAAATAAAAGCATATATGCAGACCTCTCTACCAATCCACCACACTAAGAAAGTTATCATCCAGAAAACTGCCATACACACAAGGAATCATTGCAGGGTAACTCATCTTGTTAAAATTAAAAATTTATTATTCAAAATTCATCAAACTAATTATGTGTAAAAAAGAAATTGATATGAACTTCCAATAATTTAAATATCTAAAGTTATTGAAGCCTAAAGCTGCTGAGATAGACTGTACTTTGAATTTGAGACCAATCAATCAGTTAATAAACATTTATTAAGCAACTACTAAGTATCAGGCTCTCAATTTAGGGGATTGAAAGGCAAAACACAGCCCCTGCGATTGAAGAGCTTACAATATAATATGGGAAACAACACGAAACAATTATGCATAAACAAGCTATATAGAATGAATAGGAAATAATCAACAGAGAGAAGTCATGAAAATTAAGGATTGGGAAAGGCTACTTGTAGAAGGTAGGATTTTAGATGAGATTTGAAGGACATCAGGAGATGGAGATGAAGAGGGAGAGAATTCCAGGCATCACTGCCAACAACTGAAAAGGCCCAGAATTGGAAGATGGAGTCTTGTTCAAGGAACAGCAAGAAGACCAGGATTAACCATTAAGATTTTTATAAATTTTTCCTCTTTTATATTATGACTTATATTTTTCCTGGTAGCACTTAGTAATAAACACAAGAAAAAATAAGTATATATGCAACATGTTACTCCAAATTTCTTCACCCCAAATCTTGCTGTTTCTATATCTGTAACATCTCTTACATCCCTCAACTTCTCACTACTTACACGGTCACTATCTTAACTCATATCCTTATCATCTCTGATCTGGACTATTCCAATAGCCTCCTAATTGGTCTTCCTGTCCTGATTCAAATCTCCTCCCATTCCAATTCATCTTCTACATAGCTGTCAAAGTATTCTTCAAATGCTGATCTGACCATATCCTTCCCCTCCTCAATAATCTCCAGTGGTTCCCCATTGCCTCTAGGTTAAAATGCAAATTCCTTTGTATGACATTTAAAGTTCTTCACAACCTGGTCCCAACCCACATTTCAAGCCTCATTATACATTATTCCCCTTCCAACCTTCTCCAACTCAGTGAAACTGGCCTTCTTGCTCTTCCTTTCATAGGATACTCCTACATTGACATTTTTAGGCTAGCTCTCATGCTTGTAATGAATCTCCATCTCACTTTATAGATTTTATTACTTCCTTTAAAACTCATATCAAGCATCATCTTCTTCCACATAAAGCCCTTCCTCCCCTTGTTCCTCCTAGCTCCTTTTGCACCCCAGAACTATCTTGTGTTTGCTTTTTCATTTTCCCTGCTGATAGTCATTTATCTTCTCTTACTTAACAAAATGCAAACTCCTTGAGATAAGAAAATGATTTTGTTTTGTTTTTGTATACCCAGAGACCAGCATAGTGCCTGCTACAAAGTAGATGTGTATTAAATTCTTGTCATTTACTCAAAACTGCCATATGGAAAGAGAGTTTAGATTTGTTCTTAGTTCCAGATGGTAGAACAAAGAACAAAGGGTAGAAGTTGTAAAGACTAATATCCTAATGATTAGAACTAACCAGATGCAGAGGAATTGCCAAAGGAAGTAATGGGCTTCCCCTCATTCAAGGTCTTCAAGAAAAGGCTATAGGATGACTGTCAGATATTATATAAAAGGGATTCTTATTCAGTTAGCATTTGGATAAGATGTCCTCTGAGGTTCCTTTTAACCACAAATTTTAATTCTATTATTCAAGATATCTTTATAACACATACAGAAAAATCTAAATACATAAAATGCTTATTTTTAGGCTATAGACTGCAATTGGACAGTCAACACATTGAGTTGGGCCATCAATACATATATCTGGGAGAGGTGCTGTAGATGGACAATGAGTTGGTTCCCCCAATTGAATAGGGAGAAGAGAACAGATTTGATTGTAAATGAGAAATTATGCGATGCTCTCAATAATCAACCTGACAGAAGAAAAATGCATGTTTTTAAAACAAATGTTTTCCTGGTGATGAAAGATGGTTAAAGGTTTTGGCACACCACAATCTCTGAAGAAGCAAAGTTACAAATAACCCAATGAACAACACAGAGTGATAGAGTGGATGCAAGAACACTCCAGAATATTTTCAGTGATGCAAACATACAAGAAATTGAAATAACATTAAAGAAGTGTGTGATGAGAAAAGGAGGGAGGCCAGTTATATTGAGAGAGTGAAGTATAGCACATGGACAGTCAACGAACTACACTGACTGCACTCACACTGAACTACACTCATAAAATGTAAAAAGCAGGTACAGGATGTTAGGCAAATTACTTCTAGAGAGTGGATGGGAGAAAATTGATAAGAATTACACAGGATCATGGAGACTGGATTCACTCTAGGGACAACCTGGGCCTGAAGAGATGAGTCATGCTTTTCTCAAATTCTCTGGCTCATTAGAGCCCTACTTCCCACCCCCTTCCAATGCTGGAGTAGAACTCCAGAGAAAATATCCAAAGTTTAGTTATAGCTTATGTTGAGTGTCTCCCTAAAGTATTGACAGTGTCACTTCTAGATAAAGGTTCTCACACACTTCTGTTATGTAGTCCTGGCATTTTATACTAAAAATGGAGGAATGACTGAAAGTATAGCATATCCTAGGTGCCAAAGGAGAATACCTCTCACCTGGATTATTGATATCCCTCTTCCTCTTGTTAAGCCTGGCCAGGTGTATCATGCACCCTTTAGAGATCTTCTTTGTCTTCTGATCTTTTGGGTGACAGGAATCTTTGATTTCTCATGTCTTCCTCTTTGTACTTTCCTCTTGCTTTTAAAAAGTTGGGTTTTCCCCTTATGAGGTAAAATTTGCCTGTAATAAAAGGTCTATTGCTTCTAAAAAAAGAAATTCAATGTACTAATTAGACACCAGGTATGTAACAGCTATTTATTTCCTCCAGCACAAAATAATATTTATAACAGAAAAAAAAGAACCATACAGGGTAAGAAGGTACATAAGTATTTTGATTTATACTAAAGGATAAAACCCTCATTTATAGGACCACAAATCCAGCTAAGTATTAATGTATAAAGTGTTCTCTTGCTATACCCTCACTTGTCTTTAACATTGATCTTTTTACCCCCTTTAAAAGTTTTATTTACATTTTTAACAAGCCAGATGCTTTTTAAGAATTGTTAATTTCATGTTTGGGTTTCTTATTATCCATTAAAAATAACAAATAAACAACTGGAACTATAAAGGTGCCCTCTCTCATTATAGTGGATAGCATAAATTATTATGCTGTTAGACAGTGAACCTTATAGAATGACACAAAAAAAGGAACAGCAAGGAAAACAAGTAGCGATCAATTGTAATCATCCACTTTGCACCTATTTTAAATGAGTTTGAGCCTCTAGTCCCTGAGTGTACTGAAAATATTTTGAAATTGTAATCATGAAATTTCTGTTGTAAATTTTTAAAAGTCATGGTGAATATGAAAGGTTCTAGGAAATTCAGAATGATTTTTTTATATAGAGGAAAAGTTGCATTTAAAAAAACCGCAGGGGAAAAGTTGCATTTGAAAAACCATAAACCTGCGAGCCAAACATTGATCGCTAACACAATTCTAGACTAAATTATTAAACATATAATTTAAGAACATTTAAGGTAAATAGACATGGTTATTAAGATTCAATATCAGTTCATTAACCTTTTTTGATAGAGTTAAACTGGGCGAAATGAATGCTAGAGAGAATACATTTGAATTCCAGCTTGGAATATAACAAAATCTTGTATGATACCTTTATGGATAAGAGTGAAAAGCGGCCTAGGTAATAGTATATCTCAACAGCAGGCAGGGACATTAGGCATTCAGACCTCGGGGCAACCACAACATGGGAGATTACCATGTTCAAGGGTAGTCACCATTAAAGTCATTTGTGAATCTCACTCAAGTGATTTTCATATGTTTTAGCTATGTAAGAGCTGTGGTGATTGAAACTGATCTCTATTCTATTGGGAAAGAATGAGAAGCAGTTCAAATATAGAGGAAATAAGTTGTTGCTGCCATCAATCATCATCATCATTATCATCACTTACCTTTATAATGTGATCTAATCTTTAGGAAGCACTTTACATTCATTATCTCATTTGATCCTTACAACAACCATGTGAAGTAAATAATACAAAGATTACTAACCTCATTTTATAGATTAGGAAACAGGAACTCAGTTAAATGATCTGACCATGGTCACATAATTAATAAGCATCAGAGGCAGAATTAGAACTCTATTCTCTCTTATAAAACCAATATAGCCATAGTGGTCTTGGTTGTGCTGGGATTCCTTCATCCACAAATAAGTATAGGTTGGCTCTCTGAAGGGTCCACAGTTCCAACAGCTACCCAGGATGTTTTTTCTTTCTCTTGTTTGGGTTCCCTGAGAGAAGTTACCTCTGAAATGGAGCAAATCCCATTAAAATGAGTGATATAGAAAGTATGATGGTGTACTCAATGGTGGGGACATTGATAATTTGCCTTTAGGCCCAGCAACCTGCTGAGTGAAAGAGGCCTCTGCTCTTTCCTGAAAGTAGCACCCTTTGCAGAAGCCTTGGGCTCTGAAAATACATTTAAGAGGATTTGTAACTAGTTGACCAAATGTATTTAAAGAGTGCTGATTAATAGTTTGATGTTAACCATCTCTACATTTTCACTGGCTGCCCCCAGGTCTGGAATACACTCCCCCATCACCATTGCTTCTTGGAATTCTTTCAAATAAGGGTCACTTTCTATATGAAGCTTTTCTTTTTTATCTTTCAAATTATTATTGCTTTGTTTGTTTGATTGTCTCATTCTAATCACCCCCCCACCTAAATAACTTGCATGTGTTATGTATATTTTTGTGTATATTTATACATATATGCATATTGTATCTCCCAACAAAATATTTATCAAGGACAGAAGCTGTTTTATTTAAGTCTGTATTGTGCCTGACACATAACAGACATTTAATTTTTTTTTTGCTTGCTTATATACTTGGATGGACTGTTTACATGTGCTGAAAACTCAATGTTTTGATCTTTTATCATTCTGTATTTTTTTTACTGTCTTTTACAGAAGGCATGACTATTATAGATGATATTGAGTTGAAAACAATATCCAAGATACTAGATGATGGAATTAAATTTCAAAGATATCTAAATAGACTAGATTGATTGACCAAAGTGAACTCAGCTAAGTTAAAAACAAAAACATTAATTGCCTACAATGTACCAATAACTATGCAAGACAGTGACAAAACACAGACAAAATGAAAAGGTCCCAGCTCTTAAGGAATTTACATTCTTCCAGGGGAATACAATGCAAAAACCAGAAAGTAAATACAAAAATTAAATTAAATACATATACAGAAAGTCTTTGGTTTAAGTTTAAAAAGGATGAGAGATCTGACTTAATAATGGTTTATGTGGGTGGAAAAAAACTTGGGGTTTTAATTGACCACAAACTCATTATTAGCCAACAGTTCATGCGACTGGGAGTCAAGAATCCTCAGTTCTAATTCTAGCTCCACCATTTACCAGCCATTTGCTAGACACATTATTTAGCCTTTCTAGGTCTTAGATTTTCCATGTGCAAAAAAACTATGTAATCTGTAAGGTCTTCTGGCTACATTTTATGATTCTATAACTCTTTTGACAATGTTACATGGCTGTCCCCAAAACTCATGCAATTTTAGCTTGCCTTAAGAGTTCAGAATCAGGAAGGTAATAGCTTCCATTTTACTCTACCCTGGTAAGACCACATCTGTACTATTATGTCTATTTCTGGGTATGACATTTTAAGAGTGAAATTAACAACTGGAGTGGGTCCCAAGGAAAACTGCCAAGATAGTAGTTGGTTTGGAAACTGCTTCTTATAAAGAATAGTTGAAGGAACTAGGGATGTTCAGTCTGGAAAATAGAAAGCTTAAGGGAAACATGACTGCTGTCCTTAAATATTTAGAGATTCAAGTGGAAGAGGGATTAAATGTGTTCCGTATTGGTAAAGAGAATTGAACATGGACCATTGAGTAGAAGTTAATGGGAGACAGACTTAAGCTGAACATTAAGAAGAAGTTTCAGAGCTTTTCCAGAAATGGAATTGGCTGCCTCTTCTCCTCCTTCTTCCCTATCCCTGGAAATTTTCAAGCAGAGGTTAGATAAAAGTCTGTCAGGGGTCTTTTGGGAAAGATTGTTGAAGTGGGATATTGGATTCAGTTTCTAAGTTTCCAAATTGAAGCTTCTGTATTCTCTAACATAGGTTGTAAATGTTTTTAATTTCTTCTCAAGTATTTTCCATGAAGAAAAAAAAGTGTCATGTTTTTCAGCGACTTTTTTTTCCTTCTAATTATAGCACAATATAATACTAGTTCTATTGCATATGTCAGAGTCATGTGGTCAAGATGGCATAAAGAACTGTCTAGTCTCAAGAAGAAACTATTCTTTACCAAGAAACTAGGGCAGCTAGGTAGACTAGTGGGTAAGGGCCTAGGCCTGGAGACAGGAAGACCATGTTCAAATGCAAGTTCAGACACTTATTAGCTGTATGACCCTGAGTAAGTCACTTAATCTCTATCTCAGTTTCCTCATCTACAGTGGGCTAATAAGAGTACCTACCTCCCAGGGTTGTTGTTAGGATCAAATGATTGTAAAGCACTTAGCACAGTGCCTTGTGCATAGTAAGCACTATATAAATATTAGCTATTATTATTAAGAAACAATTCTTTACCAACAGAAACGAATCTGAGCTCCAAAATAACGAGCTCCTGTAGGAATATGTAATAAAAATTATAAACTAAGTATAATATACTCTTCCTTCTCTTATTATAGATTTTCAAATTTATACACTGAACTGAAGCAAGGATTCTAGATTGTATGTCCCATTGTACTAAATATACTAGGCTGTGCGTCTCGTGAGTAAAGTTAATAGAAGCAACAAATTAGTTTTCTAATTCAGTGACTTAAAACAGAATGGAGGCATGACAATGATTAATTGGTCCACTAAACTTTAAGGACATTGCTGGAAAATGACTGTGATTTATACATCAAACTGGTATCACTAACATTTTTAACAAGCCAGGATCTTTTCTCATGTTGTTAGCATCATGTTTGTTCTTATTTGGTGCTACTTAAACAAAAAGGAATGAAACAGTAAAGGTATGACCCTCCCCAACTCTATTTTATACAAAAGAAGATGAAAATGAATCACTAGGCTCTCAGAAACAGTGGAGTACCCAGAAGGCAACAAGAAGGGAACAGCAGTGTAGACTACAAGTGATAAATTACAATTGGCCAGCATTCACAACTAAATCAACAATGGCATGATAAATGAAACTCTACAGGAAATCTTAGAATGAAAACAAAATGCCTTTGCAAGTTTTTGTCATGGACTATTTTAGTAAGCACAAATGCTCAGCATGAGAAAGGCCTAATATAGTGTACCTTCTAAATTGCTGTTCAAGCAATTTACAACTCAAACTTGGACTAATTTCTTCAAAAAGAAAATAACTAATAACCCATAGATTGATTTTTTTTGTGGTTCTATTATAAAGCATTATCATTTGCTTTTTCAAGGATATTTATTTTAGCCTTTGGACTATGAGCAGCATCAGGGAACAATGGAAAGAGGACTAGATTTGGCATCAAGAGATTTGGATTCCAATCCCAACTCCCACATTTACTACCTGTGTGATCTTAAACAAGTGACTCTAGAGATGGTGCTCTGAAAAACACATGTGCTACATAGTAATAGAG